TTCTTCAAGCAGTCCACGCTGGCGCCGCTCTCCAGGAGCAAGGCCACACACTCCTGGTGGCCCATGGAAGCTGCCTCATGGATGGGCCTCTTGTAGTCCCCGTTGGCCACCTCGATGTCCATCCCAAAATCGCGGATCAGGAATTCCAGCACGTCCCGGTGACCGAACCGCGCCGCTCTGTGCAGCAGGGTGTCTCCCAAAGGTCCCCAGCGCCCGTCGGGAGCCTCTGGAATGTCACCCAAGCTCAGCTCATCCCGCAGCTCRTCCAGCTTTCCCTCCTGGACCAGCCTCAGGAGCCGCCGCGGCCTCTCCTGCTCTGCCATGGGGCCGGGCCTGAGGAGGAAAAGAGGTAAAAAATCAGGATTTGGGGTTGGGAATGGGGGAAATTGCAGTGGGGATAAACAGGAAAGAGGTTTTACCTCAGGAGAAGCAGGGCCTGGTGTTTACAACCAGAAAAATGGGAATTTTTCCCTCAGAAAATCCGCAAACCCCCGCGGCCTCTCCTGCTCTGCCATGGAGCCAGGCCTGAGGGGGAAATGAAGTAGAAAATTGGGATTTTGGGGTTGGAAATGGAGGGATATCGTTGTTGGGATAAGTGGGAATGAGGTTTGCCCTCAGGAGAAGCAGAGCCTGGTGTTTATGTCCAGAAAAATGGGAATCTTTCTCTCAGGAAATCCACAGATCGCCACAGCCTCTCTGGCTCTGCCATGGAGCTGGGGCCTGAGGGGAAAAAGGCAAAAAATTTGGGATTTGGGGTTGGGAATAGGGGGAAATTGCAGTGGGGATAAACAGGAGTGAGGTTTTTCCTCAGGAGAAGCAGGGCCTGGTGTTTACATCTATAAAAATGGAAATTTTTCCCTCAGGAAATCCGCAAACCCCCACGGCCTCTCCTGCTCTGCCATGGAGCCAGGCCTGAGGGGGAAAAGAGGTAGAAAATTGGGATTTTGGGGTTGGGAATGGAGGGATATCATTGTTGGGATAAGTGGGAATGAGGTTTTCCCTCAGGAGAAGCAGAGCCTGGTGTTTATGTCCAGGAAAACGGGAATTTTTCCCTCAGAAAAAAAAAAAACAAACCCTGAGGGCTCTCCCACTCTGCCGTGGAGCCAGGCCTGAGGGGAAAAAAGGTAAAAAATCAGGATTTGGGGTTGGGAGTGAGGG